CCTGCCCAGTGCCCAGCGTCCCTGCTTGGCTGAAAGCTGACTCGTGCTGCTGGGCTCGCCAGGAAATGCCAGACCTGGGGCTGGGGGCAGCATCCCACTGTGGCCTTGAGAGCAGAGAGGAAGTGAGTGTCCAGCTCCCCACAGCGAGGGCTCCTCAGGAGCCAGAAAGTGAGAGGCAGCGCTGAGTGGGGCGGGGCTGGGGGCGGGGGGAGGGACAGGCTGGGGCCAGACACAGACACAGTGTCCACTTCATGGGGCTCAGCCAGTCAGGGCCAGTGAGCTGGGGCGCAGCACCCATGCTGGGGATAGGGTGAGATACTGGGGGCCTAACTCTGAGGCTGAACCTGGGATCTGGAAGCAGAGAGCGGTAGGGCACCAGCAGAGGGAATGGAGGCTTGGCCGAGGGGGTGAACCTGGGGACAGAGCACGTGGTGTGGCTGCAGCCCTGGAAGTGAGGGGTGTGGAGGAGGAGGGGCCATGGCACCCTGGGAGCCCAGGGGGAGCCAGTTCTGGGTCCTGTAGGCCAGTGGGGTCCCACTACCTACCCCCTGCAGCTCCTGTGGCTGTCCAGACACTGTCCAAAGAGGCTCAGAGAGCTGCAGGCTGTCATGCAGTCCAGCCTTAATGAGGAGGGGTGACCACCAACCTCAGGAGGGAGTGGTCAAGCGAGATTCAAGGCCAGGATGGAGCAGGACAGACAGGCTGGTCGGTGGCTGGCCAGGCCCGTGGGGGTGGTGTTTTCCAGGTCCCCCGGGCCAGGGGAGGCAGAGGAGAATTGCAACCCCAGCAGAAACAGAAAGCCCCATCCCATGGAGGCGGAGCCCTCTTGGCTCCATTTTAAGAAAACACGGAAAGGCTCAGAGGGACTGGCTGCTCGGCTCCGGCAGGTGGCACTTCCTCTCCCTGGATTCCAGCAGCATCTGCAAGATCAGCATCTCCCAGGCCCTGCACGTGACCAGCGACCAGCAGTGGCACGCAAGGCTCTGGTTACCAGAGGGCTCCACTAACTTCTTCCTCATGTGCCGTATTAGGGTTTTTTTTGTTGAGATGTCATATACCCATAACATTTACCCTTTAAAGTGTACATTTCAGCGGCTTTTACAAGGCTCTAACTCCAGAATACTTTCGTCATCCTGATAAGAACCCCATCCCCATCAGCTGTCACTCCACATCCCCTCCCCCAGCCCCTGGTGACCATGAATCTGCTTCTGTCTTCGCGGACTTGCCTGTTCTGGATGTTTCCTGTAAATGTAATCGGACACTGTGCTGTTTGGTGTCTGGCTGCTTCCGGGGCTCCCCACACGCACGCACAGCAGGTGTCCGGACTCCCAGCTATTGCGCGGTGTGGCTTTTCCACATTTTGTTTGCCCTGCAGCAGTTGGTAGGCCTCGGGATTGATCCCACTTTCTGGCCATTGTGAGTAATACGCCATCTTATTTTGTGAGCAGGGTCGCAGAACGGAATGTCTTCGGGACCCTGTAGAACACCGTGGGCCCAGCCACCCTTCTGTCCTAGTCCTTCCTTCTGCAGACCCCCTCCCCGTAGCTTCCCAGCCCCCGCCCCTCCACCAGCCCTGCCTCTACCCTGAGTCTGAGACCAGGGAGTAAAGGGGGAGTCTCACTTCCCATGCCCAGCAAGGAGGGAGGTTCCCCAATTCTGGGGCCTGGTTCCCCATGACCCCGTCCTTCCAGCTGCCCCTTACCTGGCCCCAGCTCCTCGTCCAGCGCATGACTATTATGCACCCTCTGAGACGGGCCCATATGCTCTTGGACAAATGTCCACTTTACTTCCTATTTTTCTATTTCTGTGTTCAAGGGACGTCTCTTGTAAAAGCATGTAGCTGAATTTTACTTGTTCGCCAATCTGAGCATCTCTCTGTTGTAACTCATATATTAAATACCTTTGATATTTAATAAAATTGCTGATCTATTTGGATTTAGCTGTGGGATCCTTTTTGTGCTTTCTATATGCTCCACTGTGTCTTTGCTTCTTTTTTTCTCCTCCTCTGCTTTTCTTTAGATACTTTAAAAAAGTAATTATTTCCCTGCCTGTGGCTTGAAAGTTGAACACTACTTCTATTGTTTATTTCTGTTTGGGATAGGTTGTGTTTTTTGAAAACACAGGTCAATTTTTTAAAGTAATTCTGAAAAAGTTATTAGCAGCTGCTTTTTCAAATATTGCTATTTCCCTACATTCTCCCCTTCTAGAACGCCAAAAAAAAATAGGCCTGGTCTTCTCACTGTGATCTATTGGTCTCCTAACCTCCTTACATCTTCCATCTTTTATCTCTGTCCCCCACGCTGCATTATGGACCATTTCTTCAGCTGTACATTTTGCATCCCCATTTTTTTTCTCTCCAGCTGTATTTAATGGTTTTTTAACTGTCCTAGTGTTTAATTTTCAGTAAATATATTTTCATTATTTCTAAAAATTATTTTATTCTTTTTCAAATTTGCCTGCCTTTTTAAAAATGCATTTGACCCTATTTTATATGTTCAGTTCTTTTATTTCTCAAGATTTTAAACACAAGTATTTCTTCTGTAAAACCTCTAATTTCACTTTCTAAAGATTGTTGAGTCGGCTGTTCCTGCTGAATTTCGTTTCCTGCTTATATATTCTGTGGCGTTGGCTGTGAGTTCACATCTGGGTGGCTTTGTGGTAGAATCCTGTGCAGTGAGTGGTTGGAGGGCCACATTCTTCTAGAAGGGACGTGGGCTGCTCCTGTCAGGGACCTAGGACCGCTTGCTTGCTGAGCCACACAGTAAATTACAACCCAGCCCTCCACGCAGGTCCACCGTGAGTGCAGCTTCCAGCTGGATGTGACCTCCAGTCCCCAGACCTGGGCTGAGGCCAACAGGATAGCCTGCCGTGGGCCTTTGCTGCGTGGATTTTCTTTCCAGCCCAGCTCCCCCCTGGAAGTACCACCCTTTGGGGATTCAGCTTCCGGCAATGGCTTCAGTCCCAGCATCTTCTGACCTCCCAGGACCACTGGAAGCAGCTCTTGGCAGCTGAGACAGCAAAGCAGCCTGGCACCTCCATTCAGGTTTCAGCTTCAGGCGCACGTCCATTTGGGTCAAAAGATGTCTGTCTGTGCACCTGTGTAACCAGCCAGACTTTCCAATAGTCACCCCCAAGCACCTGGCCCATCACTGCCTCCATCTCACTCCCCTACCCTCTGGTTCCCTTCCCCCTCCTCATCACTCCTGTTTCCTGTTAAGGTATTTTGCTTGTTTGTTTTTTGGTTAATCCTCACCCGAGGATGTTTTTCCATTGATTTTTATTTTATTTTTTTAAAATATATTTTTATTGATTTTAGAGAGGAAGGGAGAGAGATAGAGAGATAAAAACATCAATGATGAGAGAGAATCATTGATTGGCTGCCTCCTGCACGCCCCATACTGGGGATCAAGCCCGCAACCTAGGCATGTGCCCTTGGCTAGAGTCAAACCTGGGACCCTTCAGTCCGCAGGCCGACGCTCTTATCCACTGAGTCAAACCAGCTAGGGCTCCATTGATTTTTAGAGAGAGTGGAAGGGAAGGGGCGAGACAGAGAGAAACATCAATGTGAGAAAGACACATCAATTGGTTGCCGAGCAGGGCCAGGGATCTAGCCTGCAACCGAGGTACATGCCCTTGACCAGTATCACACCCAGGACCCTTCAGTCCGAGGGCCAACACTCTATCCACTGAGCCTAACTGGCCAGGGCTAAGGTATTTTTATTATGGAAAGTTTCAAACATACACAAAAGCACACAAACTCATGTGTGTTAGGATGGATGTGGGGATGGTTGCCCTAACCCGACAATGCCTACCCCTCTCACTCGCAGCAGGATTGGACTTGTCCCAGATCATGGGACTCATGAGGGAGGGGAGTCAGAGGGGACGGCCTCACCCCGGGGCTTTCTGTTCATTTCAAAATGCGGCCTTGGGCCTCTGCCCCACGGCCTGAACCTTCCCACCAGTGGACCTGCTAGGCCTGGTACGCAGCACACAAGGGTGATGTGTTGGCTCCAAGTGAACCCATGAAGAGCTGGTCCCCACCACAGGCCCTCTGGCTGCAGGGTTCACTCAGCACCTGGCGGACCCTGGCCCTGCAAACCCAGCTGCCTGGTTGGTATCTGCATAACCGCTGGGTGAGGGGCTTCCAGGATGTCCCCATGTCTGTGGCACCAGGACCAAGGGCCCAGAACTTCCCCAGACTCTGTCCCTGGGACCAGGTGGGTCTACCAGATCCACAGTGGAGAGGGCCCCCAAGGTGCTCCCCTGCAGCCTTGCGCCTCACTAAGCCATTGATGCGCACCCACCCTGAAGCCTGTGAGTTATGCCCCAGCCACCCTACCCTTGGAGGAAAGAGCAGTGACGCCTTTCGCTGACGTCACCTCTGCTCCCCTCCCAGCTGGCCTGCTTCCCTCCCTTCCTCCCTGGATGCCTGCAGGCATAAACCACCTCGGACCCCCACCAGCCTCTGCAGAACAGATGAGGAAACTGAGGCAGGGCCCAGAGGGACACAGATGGCCTGTCCCTTGGGTGACTCAGCAGAATTGGTGAAGAGGCCAGTTACAAGCTGTGGATGGGTTTGGGGGAGCCACTAGGAGGGGCATGGGTTCCAGGCTGCTTGCTGCCTGTCCTTGGACCCCGGAGTATGGCTGTTTGGGGAGGGTCACCCAGAATCTTCCCTTGTTGGATGCAGCCAGCCCTGGGACACAGAGGGTGACTCTCACTCTGACCCTGGCTGGACGTGCTCTGCTGAACCCAACCAGGAGCTCCTGGCTCCCAGTGGCCCTTCCTGTGCCTGCCTCCCGCTGGAGGGACTCGAGCTCCGGTGCCCTGGGAACGCCCAGCATCAGCTGCTGAAAGATTCTGAGATTGTCCTGGCCACTTTGCCTCAGATTCCCTGGGGCTGAGGCAGACTTTTGTCTTCTCCCAGACTCCTCCCCTGCCCAGGCGGGCCCCTCCCATGGCCCACTTTCTCTTTCATTTCCCACTCTTAGTTCCAGCAGAGAGGTTTCTAGATAGCGAAGTTCACAAACTTCCTTCTGTCTGGGACAGTCTGCGGGAGGGCCCCTGGCTGCCCACTAGCTCTCTGAGGACTGAAGTGACGGGTGGGCAGTGCTGCTGCCTGAGAGCCTGTGACATTTCCGCACTCGGGGCCAGTCTGCGCCTGATTTGGTGAGATTCCTGTGTGGAGGGCTGCGGGGGGCGGAGGGCTGGGACATGGGTGAGGAGCACCTGCTCTTACTGTTCGGTGAGAAGAATGGCAAAGGGAGGGCTTTCCAACCGTGTCCCTCAGAGCCTCGCTCACCTGATGCTCACCTGCCACCTCTTGGAAGGGACAGGGCATGTGGGCTCCCTGGGCAGAAAGGGTGGGCCTGGAGGCCTCTTGCAGACTCCTGCTGTGCTGTGCTGTGCTGTGCTGTGCTGTGCTGTGCTGAGCTGAGTGGGCTAAGGAATGAGTCCCTTCCTCATCCCATGCAGGAGCCCTCCTCCTGGCCGCCAGATAGAGCCGGTGGGGCTCAGGGACCCTGGGGAAGTGGGGAATGGACAGATGGGCTTCCTCCTCCTTTGCTTCCCAGAGGGGCCGGCAAGAGGGTATGAGGCCCTTACAGGGCTGGCCGAGCATTCCTCATGACTCCATGCTGCTCGCCTAAGTGGGGAAGGTTCTCATCTGGGGACCACCAGGCAGAGTGAGGTCATCGCCGGCTGGTGCCTGCTAAGCTGGCTCTGAAGCCAGGACCACTGGCTGGGTCCACTGAGCAAGCCCCCAGCGGTGAGTCCTGGGGAGACAGCAGACAGACCCCAACTAAGGCAGCTCAAGCTCAGCCCTCGGCTCACAGGGTTTGAGCTACAGAATCTCTATTTAAGGGTCTTGAGCTGTGTAGAGAAAGTTCTAGTGCTTTCTGGAAGGTGTGACTGCTCCTCCCAGAGCAAGTGCTGTAGAGGAGGTCCCGTCTCGGTCTGCTTGGGCTCCTCAACAGCCACAGACAGGGGGGCTGATGCAACAACATTCATTTCTCAGTTCCGAGGCTGGAGGGCTGAGCTCTGGGTGTCCACCTCCTAGTTCCTGGCTGTGTCCTCACAGGGATGGGGGTGAGAGAGCTCCCTGGGGCCTCTTTTACAGGGACACTAACCCCATCCTGAGGGCCCCATCCCTGGGTCTAATAAACTTCCAGAGGCCTACCTCCTACCACCATCGGGAGTTAGGATTTCAACATACAACTTTGGTGGGGGACACAAACATTCAGTCTATAGCAACCTCTCAGGACCTTATGAGCCACATTGGAGGAGAAAGAAAGGACTGGAAAGTGTGGCTTCTGTGTGCCCCACCCCTTTCAAAGTCAAATGCCTTGTGGACATGAGTGAGGACACCAGGTGAGAACAGCAGAGGCTACCACCTCAAAGCTGCTTGGGCCATCACAGGCATTGTTTGTGGCTTCCCAGGCTGTGGACCTGGTTCCACCTTTATGGATGGTTGGCCTTGTCTTTCTGCATAATGAGTCTGCCCTGATCTCTTGCAGCCCGGGGTGGTTTTCTCTGTGGGAGAACAAAAGCAGCTCAGGGGCAGCGCCTATGGATTCCAGTTCCATGGATTCCAGTTCTGAGGAGAAAGGTGCAGCCATGGCCATCCCCCCGCTGAAGCCCAGCGAGAAGTTCCACCTGTTTGTCAGTTACAGCAGCATGGATGCCACGTGGACACATGGGCTCATCGGCCGCCTGGAAGCCGACCACGCGGGGCTGCGGGTCTGCCTGCACGAGCGGGACTTCACCCCAGGCAGGAACATCCTGGAGAACATGGCTGAGTGCATCCATCAGAGCCAGAAGGTGCTGCTGGTGCTGAGCCAGGACTTTGTGCAGAGCAGGTGGTGCCTCCTCGAGGCCGACCTGTCACTCTTCGGCTACTGCCTGGAGAGGAAGCCGGTCATCCCCGTCCTGCTGCGGCCCTGCCAGGTCCCGCTGCACCTCAGCCACCTGACCTACCTGGAGGCCATGGACAGCCGTTTCTACAGCAAGGTGGTGCGGCTCCTGTGCACACCCAGCCACTGCATGGCGCGATCCCTGCCCGGCCCGCGCCCGGTCCCTTCTTTCTACAGCGGGAAGACCTTGCTGACCCTGAACTGTGTCAACAGGGACAGGCTGCCCTCGTGGAAGGTGGGGACCTTCAGTACCCTGAGCGTCCCAGACCCCTTGAAGGAGGTATTGCCGGACCCCGAGGTGTACAAGCATGCTGTGGGCATCCTGAATGGGGTACAGTCCCCCAGGTCCTGCCTCCGGTATCTGGGTTGCAGGATCCTGCTCAGCATCTTTCTCCTTCTTCTCTTCTTGTCGTTGATCTTGCTCTTCGTGGTTTTCGGGCTCGAGCCCATAACACCAGGTCTGCGGTTCCTGCTAATCACCACCAATGTGTTCTGCAGCCTCCTCAGCATGGTCTTAGCAGTTAACAGTCTGTGTTGGTTCAGAAGGTTTTCTAGGAGGAAGATGCAGGAGCTGGGCCTCAGGGTGGGGGAGGCCAACCTGCTGCTGGCGCCACACTCGGTGCTGATGGGCTGCCAGACCCTGAACCAGCTGTCCTTCGTGTTCGTGCAGCTGGAGGACTGCAGGCAGACGTTCCTCCAGGCCCCCGAGGGCGAGGCCCTGTTCCGGGAGGCCCTGCTGCAGTTCTCCTGTGCCTACGCGTGCTGCCTGGTGCAGGCACACTTCCCCCACTGCGAGGACACCGCGGCCTCCCAGGGCCACCTGGAGCCCGGCCTGTGCTTCTGCCAGTACGTCTCTGTGCAGCTGGAGAGAGGTTAACCCCATGTGGCGGTGGGAGGGCCTGTGGAAGGGCCTTGTGTGGACATCCAGCCGCCCCTTGGCCGGTGCTGTGGACGTGGCCGCTGTGAGGCCTGGCTGGTGCGCTGCCTCTCACGTCTGGTTAGTTGTGCCAAGCAGGGCAGCCTGCACTGCCTGCTCTGAGGGCAGAGTGACTGCTCTGTCCCGACAGACTGGGGAGGGGGACTTTGGTCAAACTACCTGAGAGACCCTTAGGACTGGCCTGCCCCTCTCTGGATGTCCAGGGGCCAGAGCAGAATGCAGCTCCTACAGGCACCTGCCCCTCGTTCTGGGACACGGAGATGAGAACAGGTCAATCCCTAGGGACTTGGAAATACAAACACACACACACACACACACACACACACACACACACACGCTGCGCTCCTGCCTTCAGTGCTGAGAGTTTGCAGGGTGCCGGCCGCAGCCATCCTTGGCTGGAAATGGGAGAACTGGGTTGTACTGGGCATGGTCAGATTTGCGTCTGCGGCCGTTGATTCCAGACCGGTGAGCCCTTTCTGCTCTGCATGGCCCCAGGTCCTGAAATAAAGACCCCAGCCTGTCTTCATCCTCCCTTCTGGGGAGGGTGTGCGGGGGCTGCAGCAGCACCTCCCAGAACCGTGGCCAAGCATGGCGGTGCAGCATCCTCATCCTCGCTGCTGCTGCCAGTCATCCCACAGGAACAGGGCAGCATCCCCGGGAGGTAACTAGGAACTGGTTCTGTTCTTTGGGTCAAAGCAGGGAGCAGCAGCAGGCTGAGCCCTGCCTGAGCTGCGCCCCCCGGAGAGTGAGATCCCCACACCTTACGCTTCACACCTCTCCCCAAGACCCCTCTCTGTTCTGGCCCAAGCACGGGCAGGACCTTGGAGGTGAGGGTTGGCCCCAGGGTAACATGGGCAGGCTACCCTCTGTGAAAGAGCAGTTGGCAGGTGATGACCTGCCAGACTTGAAGTCTGGTGCTGGGAAGATTCCCTGCCACCTGCGGAGCCTTGGGTGGGCCCTGGCCAGATGCTACGCTGGTGAGAGTAGCTCATTGGTTCTGTGGTTTTGCTGCCTGCCGGGCCCTAAACTGACCCTCACCCCCTCCCACAGGCCCAGGCCCAGGCAGTAGCTGCAGAGTCACAAATGTAGTTCCTCATTTTACATCCCACTGCCCTGGGAGTGACCTTCCTGTGGGATTGGGCATGTGGACTCTCAGCATGACATCGACATGCAACCTGCCCAGTCCCACAGGATCCTGCAGTTCTGGGAGGTGCTGAGCATCATGGCACAGGCCGGGAGTCACCCTGTGAACCGGCCTCCTTTGGATCACCCCCCTCCAGAGTGCCAGGCTCCTCTTTCTTCCTGCAGCTCCTTCCCAGGCGCCAGGCAGAGGAGCCTGCTCTGTGCTGGGCACTGACCCGACAAGCTGACGTGTGTCTCTGGGACAGCAACCTCGGTGAGGGGCTGTGATGACTGACCTGAGAGGGGCTCCACCTTCTGGATCCCATCCCTGTGTCCCAGGCCCGGCTCTAGTGAGTGTTTGCGTGATGAAGAAGGGAATGTAACCTTGAAATGACCTTGAAGACATCTGAGGGTTGTGCTTGTGATTTACTGAGATGGGGTGGAGGCTGTGACAGGAAGTAGGGAAGCAGAGTGGGAGGCGGCCAGGTGAGGTCAGCTTGTAGAAGACTAACAGGTTGCACACGATCTGACCCATAAAAGGATGACCCCAAGGCCCTGGTTCCCCCTATGCCACTGTCCCCAGCGTGGTCTCTCTCTCTGAGGGTCCAGGTCTCTTCTCAGATGAACACATGGAATCTCTCACATTTTCCTTGAACCTGTTCCCATCATCATCGGGGCCCTCGCCAGGGAGCCCATGGACCTGGCACACACTATGTGTCAGAATTATGTTTGACTTTTGGCATTTTATCTGACACGATTAAAGCCTCACCAGCTGTTACACCTTCTTCTTTGGGCTGTGAGCTGGACTCAAGGTCCCCGATACCACACCACGCACCTCACCGATGAGACCCACAGGTCAGCAAACTGCGTGTCTCAGTGTTGACGCCTCTGAGGGCCACACCTGGGACAGGACTGTGGGCAGGTGGCTGATCCGGCCTGGGGTCCTGTGGGGGCATGTCATCCGGGTCACGCCTGCAGGCCAGCTGACAGAAGCCAGCTCGGGGTTCTACTCCAGGGCGCCTGACTTGTGAGTTTTTAGAAGAGGTTTCTGTAAAATATGAGCGTGAACAAATGTAAAGGATGCCTGGAGGCTGCAGGGACCCCTGGAGCCTGACTCTGATTGTAGGGGACTCAGCAAGCCCCCTCCCCTCCCCTCAAACTCTGACCCTGGTCACACTCAGGTCTGGAAGAGCGCCAGCAGGGACACTGCCTGCCCTCCGGAGGGACACTAGATATCGTGCCACTGGTGACGGGTGACAAGCACCAGAAAGGCATGGAGCTCTGCTCTCTGCCTCCGGTGAGGCTCACCAGAAGTCATGGGAGCCTTGCAAATGCATGTTGTTTGCTACTGAAAACCTGTGAAACTCTTAAGAGGATGTAGCATCCACGACTTGTTTTAACTTGAATTTTGTCTCAGGGATCTTGGGGTTTGGTTTTAGGATGCGAGAGAGCATTTCAGTTTAAGATCTGATGACACGGCGAGTCGCGTGCACAGCCGCAGAGGTTTTGTAAGATAGGTTTGGCGG